GGATTGTAAAATTAATCGCATGCGTTAACGCGTTAACGATGACAGCCCTAATATATATATATATATATATATATATATAACAAACAATAATAAAATTATATATAATACCTAATATATTTAATGCAAATAAAATCCACAGAAAAGTGGAAACAATAACTAAAATCTGGGCCATTGAATACAACTTGCTTGGGCACTTTACATTATTCTGGCAATTTCTGTCTACGTGAATGTTTCTTGGCTAGAATTAGATACAGAGTGGACCAGACTTTATGCCGACAGCCAAAATTCTGGCACCGCAAGACTTGTATTATTGCAATAATTGTTTGATAGGATTGTTGCTTCAGGTACTCATCCAGCTTGGGTGAATCATAAGTGCCTGAATACACACAAGTCATGACACATTTTCACCTTCAGTATATGCAGGTAACATCAGCAAGAGGCCAACGGTTTGTGTCCTATCCAATATACAGTATCCAAAAGCAGAAGTATATCTTGCACTTTGTATATGTGTGTGTAGCGGTAGAGGGTTAGACTGACCGTAATAGCAGGAGCTGCGAAAGCAAGGCTGAGGAGCATGAGGAAGGGAATGACCTCATGCGAGGGTTCGATATAAGGCAGACTCAGACTGCGGTCGTGACAGTTGAAACCCCAGCGGACCGGTTTGAAAATGTCCGTCCACTCCAGAAAATACACGCTGACCATAGATGAGACCAGGAGTGGAAGCTGTTATAGAGGAAAAAACATCACATAACTCAACAAACATTTTCAAAGAATTACACTGTCCACATAACAGGTCCCTATGATAATATACATACAGTCAGCCAGTCATGATCACAAAATACACAGAGACACGGCAGTACCTACAAGATAAATAAAATCCTTGGTATAAGAAAGCCATATAATGAGTTCAGGTCATGTTTATGTGGTGATATCTGAAGGCCTGTGAGCTAGTAATACAAACCAATGGTGATAGATTCACAGAATTGCAGAAAAGCTATATGGGCTCAGACAAAGCTCTCTTAATATTATGAAATTCATATACAGTGGTGGAAAATAAGTGATGTGATTTGAGCTGAGGGTGAATTGGTGTGCCTTAACACACCTTTTTTTTTAATAGTATTCCAGTATTCCCTTAAGATCAACCATGCAGATTATTTTTATGTTTAACATTACATTGAAATGTTTTATATATGCATTAAAAAAAGAAACCATTTTATAAAGCAATTGTTAAGCTACACATTGCACACTTGAGTGTGAATGTCTGTCATTTAAAATGCTATTTATACTCTTAAAAGAAATGTACTAGTTTACTCTTAAATTTACTCTTATAAAATGTACTAGTAATTATTGAGTGAAAATAGTTTCTTAGCTTTTTTTCAAATAAATGCTACTCTATTTTTTCAGTGATGTGTATATGTTTACAAGATCATCTAGTATTCTTTATGACAGATTGTTTTGTCGTGTTTAACTGCTTAGATCTTCCTTCTAAGTACTAGATCCCGTGTGTCGGTGTATGCATGTGCGTATGAAAGCTGCACTGCCTCAATTCTTTATGTCACACTGACCTACATATATTCCACTAACCCCATCATGATGCATGGAGAGCAGAGCAGCACCTCCTGGGGCGAACATCTATACATATACATATATATATATATATATGTAATTTTTTATATTATTTCAAAAATAAAAATGTTTATCATTTATTTTACATTCTACTTTGTTACTTTGTCAACACCAGATACTTTTGTGACAAAAAAATTCTTTGGTGGCAAATTAAGCTTATATAGCTTTTAAAAATCTCGATTGTTTCTCCTAGACAGCAATGAGATTCAATAGAGACTTTTTCTTATGATTAGCCTACAATATGAACTCAAACAATCTCTCAGCAGTCCTCTGTTTTTCTGTTTCATTTCTCCTAAGGAATTTAGCAGAGCATCAATGCTATTTATACTCTTAAAAAGAATGTACTAGTTTACTCTTAAATTTACTCTTATAAAATGTACTAGTAATTATTGAGTGAAAATAGTTTCTTAGCTTTTTTTCAAATAAATGCTACTCTATTTTTTCAGTGATGTGTATATGTTTACAAGATCATCTAGTATTCTTTATGACAGATTGTTTTGTCGTGTTTATCACTGTAAGCCAGTAATTAAGAGCTCTCAGCTGAAGTTTTTTTTACAGTAGAGTGATCGGGTCAGTTTGCGGGCATTTGATATGCAGATGGATACAGCAAGCAGCTGCTGTTTTGTGCTGATTCTGCAGAGTTGCGCTGTGGCCGACTGATACCTGCACTGACCCATATTTTCTCCCAAAGCACTGGCACTTGGGACAAACAGTAGAGGTTTAAAGAGTAGCCGAGCATCGGCATGACCATCAAAAAGAATAACAAGACATGATGAAACCCAACCAAAGCCTATTTACTTTGAATGCAGATAAGAAGTTTTGCATGCATTTCAGATGATTGTTGTATATAATTCTGTTTGAAAGATTTTTTTCTGAACATTTTCCTGTGCCTTTATATAAAGAAGTAAAGTGGTGGTACCATGGTATATTGATGGTATCAGGGTATACACTAAAAAAAACTATTTTCACTCAGAAATTGTTAATAATGTAATTATGAAGAATTAGTACTAAATTAATTGTGGAGTTTTGAAGTAGAAAGATTGAAATAGTCTTTTCTTGTGAAACCTATTCCAGTAATTTTTGTTTTATTTACAACTTCAAAAATCATTTTTACAGTGTATATGTAGAGTATTGAAGGTCATTTGATTGTCCAGTTTAATTTAATACAAGAAATATATTAACTTTTAATAAGTTCTGCTAATTTCTTCTAACTGAATATCCATTTTCAATCAGAAATACATCATGTTACGTAAGTTAATTGGGTTGTGAATGCAATTTCATGTTGACTTCAAGATTATCCCATTGAGAAGAAGAGGTGACACTGAGGTCTTAATAATTGATGGCTATAAATGGGGAGGATAGCGTTTCTTAGAGGCTATTTTCAGATCTATGTGGGACAGGCACCATCCCAGCAGGTACAGATGGTGTCCGGATGGAAAAGAACCCGTTACGATACGAGCATTGCCCCTTGTGAGGAGATGTGGAGGTTTCTGTGACCTGATGAAACTTCAGTGATATCTTCAGAAGCACAAAATCCAGCCGTTTCTGCTGAGCACATGCCTCATATCTCTAAAACCCTCAAATATGGTAATCCTGATCTTTTTTTGGTATTTGACAAACAATTTTACAAAGCTCACAGAAAAACAGCAAATGGAGGAATGAATAAATGAATGAAAATGTCCAATTCAGCACAGCCCTGCATAATGTATGAGTGCATGCTTAGATCTTCCTTCTAAGTACTAGATCCCGTGTGTCGGTGTATGCATGTGCGTATGAAAGCTGCACTGCCTCAATTCTTTATGTCACACTGACCTACATATATTCCACTAACCCCATCATGATGCATGGAGAGCAGAGCAGCACCTCCTGGGGCGAACATCTATACATATACATATATATATATATATATGTAATTTTTTATATTATTTCAAAAATAAAAAGGTTTATCATTTATTTTACATTCTACTTTGTTACTTTGTCAACACCAGATACTTTTGTGACAAAAAAATTATTTGGTGGCAAATTAAGCTTATATAGCTTTTAAAAATCTCGATTGTTTCTCCTAGACAGCAATGAGATTCAATAGAGACTTTTTCTTATGATTAGCCTACAATATGAACTCAAACAATCTCTCAGCAGTCCTCTGTTTTTCTGTTTCATTTCTCCTAAGGAATTTAGCAGAGCATCTGAGATCACGTTGATACTTTGAAACCTCAATAAAGGAGAACTCGATCAAGTCTCATGAGCTATGAAAGAGCATCCTATGAGCAATACAATTTCCCCAGGTTCAGTTTATCACCATAGATAAATAGTCAAATATTTAAATGTTCCATTCATTAATTCAGCTATGATTGTAACATTTAAATACTTAACCTGAGAAAAAAATGGAATTGTCATCTCATTCTGATCTCGTAAACTGTCACCTGTCAAATCAAACGTGCAAATGTAAACAGACGGTCTCTTACCTCCACGAAATAAAAGCATGGCAGCAGTGTCACGCTCTCTTTTATCATCTTCTCTTTCAGTCTGTCCCTCGCAGACATCGTGTTTCTCTCCTTTAAATAAATGCCAATAACCTGTTGTGTCCTAATTCATCCAGCAAAACAAGCCGTCTAGATTACCTGCTGTTTGCTCCATTGAGATGCATGATGCACACAGAGCGAACGGCACACACAATCTACACCCTTCACCATTTACACGCGCTGTTTGTATTGCAGTGGAATATGAATACACAATTGCAACTGAATATACAGACAGAGAGGAAAATATTGCCGGCAAGATGACATCAGATTTTTCAGATGAGGGTCTTGCGTCCTGACGCGCATGCGCACAAGCTGCGCATTCCTCCAGTCATTCGCATTGTTATTAATAATGTCACGAATGTAGACGGTAACAGTTATACATGTTCGTGTAGGGTACATGAAGCATTAAAGGATTATTTAATTATTCAATACCACAAAAAGGTATCTGTAGTCTACATATGCACACTAATAGCATCTATTAACACTGCCAGGGAAAAATCACTTCACATAAATTGCAACATGAAAGGAATTCCATGTTTCCACTGCTTTTTTGGATTGATTTATTGGGCATTTAGTGTTCAGGACATAATACAACACAATGCATTGCAATGCAAAGCAAAGCAAAGCAGTAGGCTACAACACAATGCAATACAGTTCAGTGGGATGCAATACAATGCAGAGTAATGCAATACAAAACTGTTAAATAAAACGTTATTAATGATTGAAGTAGAGGAAAACGTGCAACATTGTAGCTAAATGTTTGCTAACTAGTCCATTTAAATAACTTCGATTGCATATATAGCCTAAATAATACTGCATTCTTGCTAGTTCACAGTGGTCCAACAAACACCGATGATTTTAGTAAAAACTCTCCTTTCTCGTCTGCTATCCCGTGAATAAAACTTAAGCTATAAACTCTCAAAGGTCTAAAAAGTCTCAATTGCTTCTCCTAGAAGGCAATGAGATTTTTTTTTTTTTCTGATTTGTTTGTTTTATTTCCTTAAAAAAATCGCATGTATTTTTAAACCTGCATAAGAACTCCCATTAAAAAGTCTCATGAGCTATGAATCACCCTCTGAGCAATAGCATTTCCTCGTGTTTAGTTTATCACCAACAAATAAATGTTACATTTATTGATTAGGCTATGATTTTAACATTTCAATATTTATCCTGGCCATTCAAATAGAATTGTCATCTCATTCTGATCTCAGTTCAGTGAAATGCGGTACAATGCAATATACAGCAGAGCACAATGCAGTGCAAAGCAATACAAAACGGTTCAATAAAACGTTATTAACTTCTATGCGTATGGATGACGCATGCGCGCACGCTTAATATACAGTAGTGTACGTCAACTCGCTTTCTGTCAGGACCATATACGCGTTTATTTAAGTGCTCTCATGTTTTGGGACAACTTGGTTCGCGCTGTGTTATTGCAGCAGATCGCTCTCCACAATTTGTTTTTCCATCAAAAAAAAAAAAAAAGAAAAAAAAAAGGCTAACGTTACTTTAATCTGACGTCACCAATGAAGGTTACTCGTGCACAGCGTACAAACCAGACTAATTAATAATAAAATACAGCGGGGCATTATGGCAAAGTAAGCACGTTCAGAGTCATAACAAAACTTCTGATCAAGGTGTTGCGGTTTATTTTGCCATAAAGACACTGGGTTTCTTCTATTTAAAATTAATTTTGCAGAACCATCAATCTTGCAACAGCCTTTCTTATGTCACGTAAAGAAACAAAACCCTACAGGTGTGCGTGTCCTGCCATCAGAGAGGTGAAGTGGACAGAGACAGACAGTGGACTGTTCTTAATGAAGTGCGCAGGAAACTGAAGCAGCGCGTGCGCGGAGCGGGAACAGCAGCAGACTGAATGACTGAGGAAGCTAATTCTCATTAACCGCTGGTTTAAATAGCTTGGAGACGAATCGTACTTTTAAAAGTTTAGTCAAACAAACAGGTGCGAGCGGCGAACAGCTGAGAGTAATAAATGTTTCTCCCTCCTCCAGCAGGGTCCTTTCTGATGCCGTTATAAAGTCAAACTGGCAAAGGTAGGACTCTGTATTTCACTGTTCACTGCATCATGCCATCTCTGGCTTTATAGAGATACAGCACTGCGCAGCCAATCCTCTCAGAGACTAAATATGCATATAATTATGTATATTTTGGTTATTTTAATGTATTATTTAAACAAATGAATGTTAAACAATAATAATACACTGATTTGTGTTAACAAGACATGCTGAATTTATAAAAAGCTGAATGTTGTGGAAAATATGGGATTTTCTTTGGCTATTTTGACTTAAAATTGTTAAAGAAGTTTATGTTTGTCATTAGTTCGGTGTACAAACAGTAAGACAAACAAAAAAATCAAAACATGTTAAAAACATGTCCCTTATGTGGCAGTGTCACAAAGTGAACTATTAATTGTACTGTTCTTACTGTATGCAGAGCTGGATATCAATATCCAGTGTGAACAATCATAGGATGCTGTTAACCTTCATACAGGGGCCCCAAAAAGTAAACACTTAAGATACACTTAAAAGTGTTTGAATTCCGTTGCACAAAATATAGATAAAGTGGCATCTGGAAACAAATTATGCAAAAGCTTTTATTAGAACTAACTTAACATTCCTTATCCATCTTACTAATCTGATGGTCTGAAGGTGAATTTAAGTTCTTCTCAAGTTCACACAGGAGTCCTAGCAGAGTAACCACAGGTTTAGTTTATCACATTAACTATGCACATGCTCCACTAACATTTCACAGCCAAGAAGTGTCTAAATTTTGTTTTAATTTTTAACAGCAGTGTTGTTTTATCATTTGAAACCTACAGCAGCAAATCTTTTGTTTGTGAAATGTTTGCTTGAAAAGTGTGCTTGTGCTATTTTGTATTTATTTATTTATTTTTAGAAATGCACCTTGTTTTATATATTTTTTGTTATATAATGCAAAGACATTCAGACATTTTTATGTTTGGATTATTTGTCCAAATACAGTATTTGTTTCTTCATCAGAACCGATTTGGAGAAATTTAGGATTACATCACTTGTTCAAAAATGGATCCTCTGCAGTGAATGGGTGCCGTCAGAGTGAGAGTCCAAACAGCTGATAAAAACATCACCATAATCCACACCACTCCAGTCCATCAATTAACATCTTGTGAAGTGAAAAGATGCGTGTTTGTAAGACACAACTCCATCATTTAGGCATTTTAAGTTTAAATCGCTAATTCTGGAGAAAATACTAGTCCTTAATCCATAATAACACTTCCTTCAGCTAGTGAAAAAGACCATCCCCTGTAGTCCTCTTACATCAAAGTCTAACAACATAGTTTGGAACTGTTTTGGACTGTTTTTGCTTGTAAATGGTGCTTGATCAATTCTGGAGAAAATACTAGTCCTTAATCCATAATAACACTTCCTTCAGCTAGTGAAAAAGACCATCCCCTGTAGTCCTCTTACATCAAAGTCTAACAACATTGTTTGGAACTGTTTTGGACTGTTTTTGCTTGTAAATGGTACTTGATCTGTGCATATTTTTCTCCTGATTCAGACAAGACGACTTTTTCACTGGACAGAGTAGTATTATGCATAGAGGACTCTCTAGAAGCAGTGGTTTGAAGTTAAAAACGTCTTATCAATGGCTTTGTTTATTATAAACATGCAGCTTTTCACTTCACAAGATGTTAACTGGAGTTGTGTTGGTTATTACTTGTGGATTATTGTGATGTTTTTATCTGCTGTTTGGACTCTTATTCTGACGGCACCCATTCACTGCAGAAGATCCATTGGTGAGCAAGTGATGTAATGCTAAATTTCTCCAAATCTGTTCTGATGAAGAAACAAATACTGTATTTGGACAAATGCAAACAAACAAACTCATGTACATCTTGAATGGCCTGAGAGGGTGAGTCAATTTTCATTTTAGGGTGAACTATAAATATTTGATTCAGAAGTCTTTTAACCCTTGAAACATGCTTTTGTGGTGTTATCTGAAAGCATGTAATGCCAGCAAATTCTGTCTGCATATGTCACTTCATCTGTTCTCTTATTTATTCTTTTTTTTTTAATACAGCACTTTCCACAAGCTCAGGGATGCTTTTTATTTAAACATTACTCTCTTGAAATAGTGACCTTGGTGGATACAACTGGCAAAATAAAAAGTGCTTTTATAAACTTTTAGAAACCATTAAGTCTAATTTAGGTTTGTGAACTCGTATGTTTTTTCTCAAACTTTTTATTTAAAGATGTCGGAAAAATTTATCTTGCTGTGAAGTCTACTTTGAGAAAATATCTCTGAAACTTTAAGAATGTACCTTCCTAGTCTGAACACAGCAGGTGCGACCATCAAAAGATGATCACTAGTGCCACCCAGTGGTTTCTGCTGCTTATATTTTCCCCACTGAACTCGATTCTCTTTCTTTCAGGCATCAAAGTTAATGGAAAAAATGACTGATTTAAAAAGTCGCAAGGAGTTCTACAAAGATCTCACTGTGGAGGTAAGAAACCAAATAAATGTCATATACACAGACCTGCATATTAATGACAAAGTTACTTTTTTTGTGACCTTGAAGCCTGTACACAGTGTAATTAAGTGAAGAAAGACAGCTGGCTTAGTGTGAATTTATCTTTTCTTACCTGTGACATTTCAGTTAATGAAACATATTTTGCTCTTGACTCTTTTCAGTGGAAACATTATTTGGCTTCAACATAAAAATAAAAACACGGGGGGAAATGACAAGGTAGACAAGATTTTTGATGACTAGAGCTGAAAGTGATGAAGGTTGTTTAAACGGGGTCCATTTTCACAATGAAGTTCTCTAATAGTATCATAATTGGCTTCATATGAAAGAGGAGCATCAACGGCCAGCTAAATGTGTGAACTGAACCTCCTCTGTCCATCCTTACATTTAGCACAGTGTTTGCTGAATACAACTAGACTGCAATTAAAGGCACTTACAGTTTGACAAGCAAACTTCTTGCACAGTCAGTATCCAGTGGCCAGATTACTTTGAAAGCTTGTTCTAATGCTTGAGGGGTTTTCTTCTTTGAGGCCTTTCCTTTCTTACCCTTAAATTGCAG